TCAATTGAAGGAAATCTTTATCACTTGCATAAACTTAATGTTGGTCAAAATGTTTATTTATTGGTTAGACGAATAAACGAATCATGAAAATGAAAATTATAATATCTCACACCAAATAAAATTTTAAAGCCTTCTTTAAAGATTTCTTTCAAAATCGCGGATTTTTTGTGTACAAAATAATTTATAACCCATAATTTTTTTTATTATAAAAAAATCTTTAAGGTTTCTTTTTCTTATTCATTTATTGCATCTAGAACTTTGTCAATTAAAATAAAAGAAATCTGATTATATAAAACCTTTGATCAGACAACCATTGTCCTGTTTATGCTCATTTCTTTAGGATTTTCGAGATTATGTCCAGCAGCATGAAAGTGAACATTAACTTCCTGATGTATCTTTGCCAGAGATAAAAAGTAGAAGTATATGAAGCCTTTTCATTTATAAATGTCTTTAATGGGATAATGTGACATAAGCAAGCTGGAAAAGATATGCATATCATGATAAACAACACATTTTATTGTGTAGGTATATTTTCATTATCATCATAAATCAATTTCCATGAATTTAATTTTTTGATTAAATATTTATTTTAAACAAGTAAACACACAAGCAGTTAAAATATAGAACCCATCAAGTTTCACAGAAACAGCAATGATAATATTACAGATGATAAATGGTTAGAAGTTCGTCATAATTGCAAACTTTTTTCAGTAGATTCAGAAAGTGAAATAAATTGGTAATTATATTTTTTAATGTTATTAGTTTTTTTTAGTAACCTCAAGGATTGAAATTTGAAACAAATGAAGAAATCATTGAATATACAATTAACATTTTTAAATGTATCATGCACTTGCAATACAATCATTGCATATGCGCATGCACAATTAGATAAGGTGGTGATTCAAACAACCAAAGTTGCCATTTATTTATTGTAATAATCATAATAGTAATAATAAAAAATAGAGAGGTGATTTATTTATATGTATTGAAAAAGTTGGAAAATAAATGCTTGTCGCAGGTTTAAATATGAAATGAACAATTATGACTTTTCTCTTTATTCATTTCTTTTAAAGTACTTGCTGCAGCTTTACGCCAAGCAGTTGAAAGAATTGACGCTAATAGTAAAAAGGATGTATTTATAATATCAATCCCTAGAAATCATAATTCAATTAGTTGTGATACATCTAAAGAATCCTTTATCTTGCCAAAGTTTTCCGGAGGACATAATAATAATTAAATAAATCTAGAACTCGCTTGAAAGTTTATCAATACTTTGTTGAGATATGAAATACTATTGCCAATATTTTGTAAAGCTAATTCACATCTTTTTTTAAAAATGAATTTTTGACTATATAGTAATGTACAAAATTTGTAATTTTTATTTTGGAGGATGCGAAACTCCGATTGGTTGAATTTCACGCATAACTTCAATTTTACATATTAAAGAAAAGAAAATTAACATGGAATTTTTAACATGATAATTTATGTCTGATATAGTAAACAAGTTTACATTGTCAACTACTAGTTAACATATTTTATATATAATTATATGTATATTTATAACCCCAAATATATTTATAATCGTTGTCACTTTCTCAATATATATATAAATTATATGAATGTATAAATGCACGTATCGTATATTTATAATAATAAAAATTGCAAAAAAAAAGTGTTCAAGAAATCACACAATCATCTTTTTTCTTTTTATTATCATCAATCGGTATACCCTTTAATTTTTGTTGAGCTTTTTTATCACCATGTTCAGCAGCACGACGATACCAAATATTAGCTTCTAGTTGATCTTTTTTAACCCCAATACCAACTTCAGTGAAATATCCTACGGCATATTCAGCTTTTGGCAACCCTTTGTCAGCCGCACGTTTGGCCCATAAATATGCTTCTGTGTCACTTTGTGGTAACACACCAGGACTTCCAACAAGGTACCAAGCTGTTAATGCAAAACAGTTATTTGTTGTTTCTCATTTAGTTTTGAATATGTTTGATAAGGTAAAATCTTTATCAATAATGATAAAAATTCTGTTCCGGATACACCATTCTATTCCATAAATTAATATATATTTTTTAGTTAACATAAGATTTAAAAAATAAATAATATAAACATGTTTAAATATCTTACCTCAAAAAGTTTAAGGATAGTTTTCCCACATAATACAAATTTTTGAAAAAAATTTTCATCATTAGGCTGTATAAATATTTTTATAAAAATTAATAGATTATATATGAATTTAATATTTAAAGTTTATATTACTTACATCAAATGTTTCTTTCTCAGTTACAATTGCATTTATCAATGATTTTGATAGATCTTGCAATTTACTTTTGTTATTTTCATAAACCTTTAAAGAAGATAACATGCTAATAAAGATTTCCAATTCAAAGAATTCAGCTTCATGAAGAACCTGAAGTTAAATGTGTGTATTTATGTGTGTGTATATGTGTGTGTGAAATTGATTTACTAACAGAATATGCTTAATATTTAATAATGATTTTGATGTTTTAATTTCTCTCCCTTACTTTTTGTATTTCATCTGCCAAAAATTGTTCCAAATCTTTATGTTGATCAAATAATTCATTTTTGAATTTGTTTAAATCTACTGATAAAAAATTAATTGTATGTTTTTTAACTTCTGTTGAACCAACAATTGCTTGTTGAATTATAAATCGCAATGATGCTTGTGGATCTATACGAATAACTTGTTCAATAGCCTTTTTAACCACTAATAATTCTTGTGAGCTTTCTATTAAATGTCAATAATTTAATTTATTTAGACTTATATTTTTAATATATACACTTTTATATAATCAAATTAATACCTGCCATTTTGAAGTAATTGTACAAGTGCGTCAGTTATTCTTAATGAATACTTCTTTGATTCTTTTACCACATTAGGCAAATGTTTTATAACAGTCAATCGAACCTTTTATATAAACAAATTTTTTTTAATAAAAAATATAGTACATGTATAAAAAAAAAAATTCTTACATTCAAATCTTGATCCTCACATAGATCAAATAAAGCGTCTATTGCAGTCTCATGAAAGTCTGGAAACTTTCCAAAAAAACGTGGAATGAATTGTGCTGCTAGTCGTTTGCAGTTACTTTCAGCATGTGCTGCAGCAATTAAAGCTTCATACGACCCTTTAACTTTGGCAAGCTATAAAAATTTTGATTGTTAATAAGCAAAAGTAACCTTTTTCAGTATTAAAAAGTAAGTATATAAATACCGATTCTTCATCATTTCCTGCTGCATCTATGTCTTCGTAAGCTTTATAGATTTTTTCAAGGCTAACACTACTCGTTTCACTCATTTTTGAGATAGGTATTAATATTCCAAATTCTAATAACAATCGAGTTACACAACATAATTGCTCTTAAAAATGAACATCGTTTCTAAAAATTTTTGGCCAGTACATGCATGCTTGTTCATTACATACTAAACTAGGATTCTTAGTCAGTTGTAATTTCCGTAATTTATTGCAGTAATATCTAACGCTAGTCTTGGAGATTTAAAACCACTTTATCTTATAGAATACCTCTTGCAACTTTTGCCACGACGTCAATTTTGAGAAAATATTAAATCTCAAAATGAGGTAATTAGGTTCTCTTTCAAGATGCCTATTAGTAATACAATTTTCTTATTCAAATGATTTGTAAATGGGATCCTAGATAATAAAAATCGAGCTTTTCAAAAAATAATTTTTTTGCCTTTTACAGTCAAACCTCGCCACAGCGGATTCATGGTTCCAACCAAAAAAATCCGTTATGACGAGAAATCCGCTGTGGAA